TCACCTGCTTCCCCAGCTCAGCCACTCTCGCCACCACTAATATACTCGAAAGTGCTGGAGGATACACACAGGTAGGTTACATGATGTACAAATGTTTCTGTCACACTCACAAACCTTTGATCTCATTAAGCGACACATTGCCGTTCAAACGTAAACATACCCGTCGCACCAAGAACAAAAAAAGGAAACACTCTTTTGCATATTGTTCATCACTTTCAAATTGCAACTTTAAATTAATATATATCCTGATGCTTTAATCACAGCAGAAAAATAAGCATACGTTGTGATAAACAGAGAAATGCAAATGTCTGATTCGACATTTTTACATCATAGTTCTGTATATGTGAATATCTCTTACATTGATGTACCCCAAAAAACGACATATTGGGATTTCATAAGCTTGCATCCACTTGAATGTAGTTGAAGTTATTTAAAACTTAAAAGTGCATTCACACCCAACTGTTTTAGGATATGCTTGGATGTTAAACTTCTATATTATCAATGCAGAACATGCTAAAAATAAGAAGCAAAGCATGTCCAACTCACAATGATTTCCAGTAAGGATGTTTGTCATGTGTGTTCCTGCAGCTCTCCGGCTTGTTCACAAGTCTGGTTGTCCTGATTGTCCTGCTGCTGATTGGCCCGCTCTTCTACTTCCTACCAAAGGTGTGTTTTTATGTGTGTGTCTGTACAAGAGTGAGAGAAAGAAACAGAAGAAAAGTGAATTTACCTTTACCATTATTTCTCTCCCCAGGCAGTGTTGGCATGCATCAATGTGACCAGCCTCAGGCAGATGTTCCTGCAGTTCCAGGACTTACCTGAACTGTGGAGAATCAGCAAGATTGACTTGGTGAGGCTTTGGATCAAAACAGCAATATGAGATTTCATTTCATTTCAAACCTTTATTTATCCAGATATACAAGTGTATTCTGCTATACAGTCCCTGTGCATACGAAACACAAGAGTGAAATACAGATGGTTAATTAGCTCCCTAGCTACCATTAGGTAAACAACTGACCCATAAAGCACAGCTAATTGGGTTTTTTGTGATATCTTCACATATCAGCTCATTTTATCCTGCTCAGCCTGTGGTCATTTACACATAAAAAAACGGTGCTTACTTTAGCTAATTTGGAGTAAAATATACTGTTGTTTCAGCAATATATTGTACCTCTTATTTGGTGTTTAAATAAAAAACAACTACTCAAGGCTGAAATTCAAATTGTGAATAATTTAGTTTACTTGTCATTAAGCTGGAGTTGTGTAAACTCGCACAGTTTGTCATGTACATTGTTCATTGTTATATTCCGACATGACAACACTCTGTTGTTCTGGCCTGTCTAGATGGTGTGGGTGGTTACCTGGCTCTCAGTAGTGGTACTGAACGTGGATATTGGCCTCGCTATCGGAGTGGTTTTCTCGATGATGACCGTCATCTGCCGCACACAAAGGTACATTTTCCATCCCCATTGCTGAAAAACTGTGGTGCCTCTGAACTCAAATGAATCACAGAGAAACATTGAATCCATTCATACCTGTCAGGCTTCGTAGATGATATGTTGTATTGAGTTCAATTAGAGTTGATGGCCTATGGTTCTAACAGGGCAGGCTGTTCAGTGCTTGGTCGGGCCAGCAACACAGAAATTTACCGACCTCTGGAGAACCACAACAAGGTGAGAAGACTCTCTTATTGCTTCATACTTGTTTTGTTTTTTTATCACATAGGAGAACAGCATGTTTAATAAGACTTAAATTTAGGCACATCAAACGTCAAATCTTATTCCAACAAGTGATAATCATATTTCAGAGGTGATGCAGCCTTTCCAAGAATAAAGTTAGAACGCTCCTGTTTTCTTTTCAGTGCTATGAGGTACCTGGACTGAAGATCCTGACATACAACGGGCCTATTTACTACGGGAACCGTAGCTTCTTCAGGGATGAGATGAGCAAGCTGCTGGGCCTGACGCCAGAGAAGATCCGCAGCCGAGAAAAAGCTAGAAAAGCCCTGGAGAAAAGAGAGAGAGACGCCACCGTCAGCACTGTGGTAAAAATACTATTCTATAATAAAAGAATGAGCCGAGTTACAAATAAAACAATACTCAGTAAAATAAAATGTAAGTGTCTAATGTTTTTTTGCTTCATCGTTGTTTAGGAGAGAGGTATTGCAAACACATTGTTTTCTTCAGAAAATGAGTTCTTCAAATCTGGTAAGTAATGAACAATTTTGGATGGAATAAAGGCATCCATAAAGGTTATTTGATCATGTTGAAAAACACTGTTATATCTAAACATTTCCAGACCTGTTTTCAGACCTGTGCTGCAGAAAATGTCAAGTTTTTCTTTCATTTTCCCTTTTTTGTCTGCAGAAACATCAGAGAGTGACGTTCAGGCAGTGTTAATCGATTGCAGCAGTGTGACATTTGTTGATGTTGCTGGAGCAAGACTTTTTGCACAAGTTAGTACTCTCCCAATGCAACACTGAATGCTTTTACATTCAATTTATAGGGTTATCCAAATTGTTTTTGCATTGACATAATTAATTGGTTGGGCTCTTTGCAGATGTGTACTGAATGCCAGAAAGTTGGAGTTCATGTATATCTGGCAAACTGCAATGGTAAGGCCTATGTTTCAGAATTACTTTATTTATTATTAATGATTCCATCCACTGTTTTCTCAGTTGAAACTAGTTCACAGCTTGCACACAGTGAATGATCAATGTTTTCCGTCCCCTCAGAGAGTGTCTTAAAGATCCTAACGTCGAGTGGTCTAATGACCTACATGAACCCTCAACATATTTTTGTCACTGTTCATGATGCAGTGATGTTTATTCAACAGCAGAAGGTAAGCTATAATACATGCATTTTTACAAATACACAAAATGTTCATTAAAGTATTAAACAAACGATGCAACTTCTGTTGTCTGTTGCAGGAAAAACCTCCAGAGAACACCACGACTGTTTGGGTATGAGCCAGGAGGAAAGTGAGGAGTCATTCTCTGACGAAGGCACACTGCAATAAGACTTCAGCAGGGACTCTGTCTCTCAGCTGCATAGCAATGCTCCACTATTTGGTCCATACTTCACTATATTATAAGAAGCAGTAGCCTGTTTTAGCACAATGTCATGAATAACAATAATTGTAACATTACAGTGTTAACAGTTTTATCACGGATACTGGATTCACTCCTGGCACACATTACATTTCTGAGGGCTTTAAAGTAGAGACAAGAGACGTACTCATATATTCGGTCCAAAAAAAAGAAGGAATAAACAAATATGTTATTTTTGACTTATTCCTATAGAACTGTATATTGCAGATTGTTTTTTGTTGTCTTTTATTTTCTTATATGCTGGAATATTAGCACAGTGGTATTTATTTAGTTTCTGTTGGTTGTTTGCAATACTGATGAATATAAAATGCACTGAATAGTTTGTTAAAATACTTTGTGTATTTATATATTTTTGAAATATGTGCTTGACTATGTACAACAAGATCTCACTGCCTTAAAACGTGTATGTATTTTAACTCCAGAGAGACTGCACAAATTGTATTAATTACTTTTGTATTTGTCAAACATTTTGACAATAAATATATCTTCAAACCTGACCTTTTTGTTGATTTGAATTACATTTAGTATCAGCGAAAACAGCTTGTAGGCTTCTACATCACTTGGATACCATAGCTACTAAGGGCAAATACAATTAAAGGGTATAGGTAGTTTGGAATTTGAAGCATGCTGCTGTCAGATTTTGAAAAGAGAAAGAGAGCCATCTTTGTATTTGGTGAGACCTGTGTATCTGCACTGAGAAATAATAAAAACTAGAAAATACAGGATTCACAGGAGACTTTTCTTTTTGCCATGGCAGGTGTAAGCTTGGGAAACAGGCCACAGGTCATCAGTCCTGCAGAATTCTGGTTTATTTAAAATGCAAGCCATGCTATATATTAATACAAACCTGTTATTCCTTGATATGAAATGTATGGATCCGGTGCATCTACTGCGAAATGAAAATGTGTACAATATATAACAAAGTATGACAAAACATTCTGTAATTAGATGTTTTACCCGGGGATGTAAATGTCATTAGATGAATAGAAAGTGATACCTTACCTCACCACTGTGCTGCCCTCTGCTGCCCCGACAGTTAGAGGTTTTTCCCCCACTGCTCATCATCACAATCCCATTACCTTGACCTGATAAAACTATACGTAGTACGAGTTCAAAACCAGGTTGAAAAAGGAAAAAAACTAATTATTTCTTTGCTTGATGTTGGATAGCCAAGTTATTAATTTTTTCCAGTGCATATTTCAAAGAGGCCTCTAGACAGTGTACCCTTTGGGTTTTCCTTTAAAGCTCAAGGAGTGTTTCACTAATTGGCAGGAAGTAGTCCACTTCAATTAAAACATGGTACACAAGGCTCTGGCCAAATGTTTACTAAGCCAGATTTTACACACACACACACACACAGTTGCCATATGAACTCCTCGGGGAAGTTCAGAGATTTGATGACAAAGCTTTGATTTACCTTTGATAAAGTGCTTACAGGTAACATGTAAAGCATGTGTTATGGAAAGGTTAGTTGACCTAGACATACCTAAAGACAAAAAATAAACAAACACAAAAATAAATACAATAAAAAAAAACTGTGTCAAATGTACAAAAGGATCAAACTAAAAGTAATATCTGGTATTTCTAATTAATGCAATTTCTACAGAAACAGAAAGCAATTGAATGTACCATAAACCAAGAGTGGTCATAGTCATACAATTATACAATCATTACACCTATTACCTCTGCAACTGTCACTCCTAATTATAACAATGATAATAATGTTATGTTCCTCTTGACAAAGCAGAGGGGTTTTCAGCTTATTGGGATCTTTCCTGCGATCTTTTGTTTCCATCTTGTGGTGAAACATTGTAATGACAGCTGATGTCTCAGCATGTTCTTTATACTTTATACTGGAGGGTTGCTAGAGACATAGTAAGCTGTCACCTAATTAACAAAAACGTTTATTGACTTGTTTTTTTAATTCTTGTTGGAGTCAAACACAAGTACAGATCACACGTGGTTGTTAAACCGAACAATATAAATTAGCTGAAAAGGAAACAATGATGCAAACAATTAAAGCAAAAAATGCAGGTAGAGATTTACATTAATCAAGACTCATCGCTGAAGCATTTCAGTCGAAGGCTTTTTCTAAAGCATCAACCGCAAATATTGTTGTAAACATAAATCACACCATTAAACATCTGTCTTTGGGAAATATATGGTGGAACCTTACTTCTCTAAAAGACTCTGAAGAGAGAATTGTTGCCCATGGCTTCTATTGAATTACATAGTCCATATTTTCTGTTATGGTTGCTGTTTTGTGCTTTGGAAATAAGGACTTTAAGAGCTCATTTAGTATGAGTATTTGTACTTTATAGGTTGTTCAGCAAGTGCCCATATTGACTACATTTGTAGAGTTGCAATTAACAAACTGGGCAGTAGAAACATTATTTTTGGTTTAATGGGTGTTACCTTTCAGAGAAGCAAGCCAACTACTGTCTTTACATCTGTCTTTTTTCCCACTTACAGAGCAAAATGCACAAATAAATGATCTGTTACTGTGACACTACAAAAAAATTAATACATTATTGACATTTTCCAGCAAGTACTACAGATTTTGTTTTAAATCAAATACATTCAACAGCATCGAGTTAACTCTAGAGCGGAGATTCAAGGGGGGTAAGACAACCGGATAACAATTATGATCAGCTAAATAAATTAGATATCCATTCAAAAGTCTGTGTTCTAGTTACAGATAAGATTGTGCACCTTACACTTACTCCAATTGATTTTAGTGCAAATTAACCTTGAACATACTGGTTAAAAAGAAGCCAATACATCAATTATTATGGATCACTTGAATTCATGAATGTGGCCACAGATTATTTAGATCTATCATCTATGATGAAGGACCAAATAACCATACAAGGAAACCATAACCACTTATTAAACAGTTAAGGTAATTACAGAATGCAAGCTTATCAGATAGGGCTGTGGGTGGGTGTCTTATAGTAAAGAACCACTGCAAGTCAAAGTAACTATGGCAAAAAACACAAAAAAACAACATGATACTTTCAGTGCATTAATAGTTGAGGTTCACTCTATATATGGAGTTGTATGTCTGTTAGAACTTCTCTGTCTGTACCATGAGTCGCAATCTGTTCACAGAACATAATCTGTCCACACAATCCGTTAAACAGCAAGTTCTTCAGTATACAAATGTAATTTTCGGCAGTCTTTACGTGAGAATAAAGGATGAACTCACATTATAGCAGCAAAAAGACCAACAATATGGTTTATTTACTGGTCTCACATTTGAACCTGTTCTTGAAGTAGAAGACTTCCTGATGAATGTTATGGTCATTACTGGAAGGTGAATAGCGGAATTTATCATAGGTCTTTTGTGATTCTGTTTTAGTCCAGGGTAGCTGGATCTTTGATGCGTGGTTGACAATGATGTCACTACACGAGCCAATGTGGAGGGAGCCCAGGCCGTCGATGAAAAACTCTGCAGTGCCAAAAGAAAATGTTGTTTTCAAAATCCTTTTGTTTCTTTAACATTGTTGCATTCTGAAGTAACTTAACAGTGTTGTACTGCATAGCGAAAATAGCCAAATAAACTGCTATGTTAATACATTTGATAGAGAACGTTACTGATAGACTCACCTAGATGAGCTTGCCGTGCCAGGCGGGGGTTAAAGCCCACCTGCTGCACCTTGTCTGTCCTCCCCATGAAGAAGTTGATGACGGCATCTGCTACCACACAGTTGGGAAATCCTTCTATGACATGGTGGTAGCCTTTTCTGATATGTAAACAGTCGCCCTCCTCTCCGCCCTCTTCCACTGAAATGGTGTGACGGAATGTAGCAGTGTAGCCTGTCGCCTCCCTAACTGATCCAGCCACCTAGTCATACAAAAATGTTGAGATAATTTATCAAAACGTTAAATAAGAATGTATAGATAGACACAATAAGGTCAAACATGCACAATAAGATTATAAAAAAACTTGATACAAGGTCTAAAGTTATTTTACATTATTAAGATATTATCTGGCAGAGAACTCACTGCTCCATAGTTTCTCTTGGAATAAAACATTTATATAATCTGTTCAATATTTAATATTCCATCTGTCATATATTGATGTATATATATATATATATATAATACTTTCTAATTTGTATTGTACAATGCCATGTCTTTTTATGCTGCTGCAACGCAAACATTTGCCAAATTGGGATCAATAAAGTACTATCTTATCTTATTAAACGGAGGGAATTAGGAAATATCCTTACTTGTCAGACTATAATCAGAATTTTCCCCTAAAGATGATTTGATTTTCAAAATAGTCTGTTTTTATTTTTATGTTAATAGACTTATTGGTACGACGACTATTGTTTCTTCTCTATAAACCAAGCATGTAATGCCTGCTATTCTTATGACTAAGTGTTGTGATGTAAGAGCTCGTCTATGCAGAGTTGTGAACAATTCTGTGCAGACAGGATGAAGTGAGATAAGGTGTCAGGGCTGAATAACTTTGATAAATGTGTCATACACATTCTAATGTCTCACCAGATCCAGAGTGGTCTTTTCTAAGATGTCCACCATCTGCTCCAGCTTGGTGTTTGTGGTGAAGAAGAAGTCGTCATCCACCCAGAGCACATACTTGGTGGTCACTTGAGACACTGCAAGGTTTCTGCCCGCAAACCAGCCCTGTACACAGTAAATGAAGTCCGATCAGCCTATTAACCCTGCTCTGCTGATTAATCACAATGATCATTCGTAGACACATAGCAACCATTCTCTACCTTTCCAAATGGCATGATGTAATGGTCAATGTGAGGCCCGGTCACTGGCTGAGGGTGTTCATTATCATCTGCTATCACTATGGTGACGGTGGGATAATATTTGCGTATGCTGTCAATAAGCTCTTTTAGTTTGTCATAGCGTAGAAAGGTCTTGGTGGCGATGGTTACGAGAGCACTAATATTGTATTCTGAGTAGAAACAAGAAAAAAAGTTTAAAAATAACACTCTGAAGTGCCTTTTATACATTGTGCTTCTAATCAAATTGTTAATAATATAACTGCTAACAAACCTTTTTCATATCCAGTGTTGTAAAGTGTAGGTATAGTTCCATGTCCAACTTTAACTGTGAAAAATGACTGGTGACCATCAGTGGCAAAATGAACTGCAGAACAAATAAATGACAAAGAGATAAAGCAGAGCATATTTATATTTATAGAAATATTACCACTGAGCAGTAGGAAAAAAGGTTGAATAACTAAAGATTACATTTTTATTTTTTACACTGTAATTTACCTGTATCTGCTGTCTTGGGATGGAAAACAGTGTTTGTGTATGTGACGAACTGCAGCTGCCTGTTCAGAGCAGGGAGATGAGAACTAGACAGCATCATGTGCTTTTCTCCATCTCCTTCAACAGAGACCTCGTCCACTGTAGCAGCGACATCAAAAACCCCCAGTGTAGCTGTCAAATATACCTGTTACACCAATTGCATGGTTTTGGGGAATAGAATAAACACAATTTTTTTAACATTTAGACCAAAAACCGATGCTATATTAGCCATGGTGAAAAAATAAATGAAGCAATTACCCTATGGTTTGATCCTTTTTCTTCTTTAAGACCCAGACCTAAGGAAAACAAAAAAACAATAACTACAGGGGATATCAGACGGGATGATGGTGAAGCGTTTAACTCAAACACTTAAATAATAAATAAAAGCACCAAAATGAAAGGAAACAACATAATGTTCAAACTATGATATCATGTGCAGTGTCAATCTGGATAATGCTGTTACCAGGAATAATGATGGTTTTGAGGGGGCGCACCTCCACGCCCTGTGTAGGATACTGGAGAGGACTGTTGGCTTCAGCTACAATAAGAACATCTGCGGGAGTGTAGGACCTGTACAAACAGAACATATTAGAGAAGTACCTGCATTGCTTCAACACTGTCAAACTGTCAAAAAAAGTCCAGTCCTATTTATTTACTTTGGGTCACCTAATAATAATAATAATAATAATAAGTTTCATTTGTAACACACTACATATTTGAAGTCAAATCCCGAAGTGCTACAAGCAGTGAGCATGGAACAATATAAAACAGCACACAACACGGTAGAATGAATAGTAAAAAAAAGCAGTAAAAACAAACAATTAAAAGAATAAATAAATAAAAGGTCTAGGAAAAGGCTCTATTGAATATATGGGTTTTTAGGCCTTTTTAAAAAAAGGCATCCACGGTCTGTGGTGCTCTCATGTTGTCGGGGAGAGCATTCCACAGACTGGGAGCAGCCGAGCAGAAGGCCCGGTGTCCCATAGTACGGAGCTTGGTCCTGGGGGGTTTGAGGAGGTTGGAATTGCTGGAACGGGAGGTACCTAATGTATGCCAGTAATCACATACTTAATTTGACCACACTTTGCACAAAGAGAAACCATGTTTGGAACATTATTCTATTTGTTTGGATGTACTACATCAAAATCTCATACTGTTACGGTGTGTGTAGGAAGCAGGACCCAAATGCAGATTAAGTGACAAAAATAACTCCTTTATTTCAAGGCTAGACAATTAACAGAGACAGAACAGAACACTCACCGCAGACCAAGTCATTACACAAGACGAACCGACAAAGACGAACAGAAAAACCAGAACTTAAATACACACAAGACTAATCATACAAACAAGACAGAGGTGAGGAGGGAGGAGAAATCACAGGGACACCAGGTGAACAAAATCGGGTAAATTAGACACACCAGGGAAACTAACGACAGGGAACCACAGACAGATCTAAACAAGACAAAACACAACGCAGACAGAAAACCAAAGACAGATCTAGACAAGACACAACGCAGACAGAAAACCAAAGACAGATCTAGACAAGACAAAACACAACACAGACAGATCGTGACACATACGTTGAAGTGCTGAAATCCAGTGGCCTTTCAGAGGTGAGTTTTGCAATATTGGAGAGTAAGGGCGTCGCATTACCCTTTTGTTAGTGCTAGAAAAATGTAGAAAGACAAGATAAACCAGTGATACTCACATACAACCGGTAAGCGTTGCAACGCCTTATTTCATGTGAATGTAGCATGATCTACCCAGCTATCTGAAATTTGGAAATCTAATTGAAAGCTGACGCATTCATGATCCTCACATATTTTTGTAAAAACCTAATGATTACACCTTGTGGGTCAATTGGGCTATCCTTATCTTGAAAAAGTAAGTCGTTTTCATCTTTTTAATAGAAAAATGTATACACTATAGCTGTCTAACATGTAAAGTAATAGGAGTACACAAGGATGTGTTCACTGGCAGTCCGACAGTAGGTGTTATCATGGACAGTTTACCTCTTTTGGAACCTGCTGTACTCCTTAGCCCTGAGATGCTTCACACCCTCGGGGTCAGGATGGGATGCTAAGAATGCCTCATCAAACTTGTGGGCCCTAACGCTTGGGAACAGCAGATTGGAAAACGGCAGGTGAAAGCTCTCTTTATCGGCCAGACACATACATGTATTCTGAGCCACATTACTGTAAAAACAAGGGAAGTTAGATGTTAGGAAAAAAGGAGATTTCAACAGGAGAATGAACACATGCTGACTAATAACTCACCCTGCCACATCTTCCTTTATATTGTAGGCAATGTCATGATAGTCACCAATGGTGTCTCGAGTTTTCTCTTCGATTAGTTTCTTCAGAAGACCCCCCTGTCTTGGCCGTATGTCAACTGCTGAGCCGGTCCCAGGGCTCCAAGCATGAAACAGGGCTAGCAGGAGTCCAACGAGCAAAATCAGCACCAGACACTTCTTAAAGGTGGCACGCATCTAGATGGAAGATTAAAGAAAATGCCAAAAATTACAAATGTAGGCCACACAGGGTAAGGAAAACAAAAGCGGCAGTTAAGAGACGGATGTCCTGTGTTTTACACTGGAATACATGTCTATTGTTTTTTTATTTGACAGGAGCCTCAATTTTCAGGCTTTAAAAGCTGGCCGCAAATGTATATAAAATCATTAAACTTGCTGAGGCTACGGGCTTGTTTAAAACTAGCTGGATTGTGTTGTACAATATTAGACCTTACTGTAAACACCACTAGACTATAACATTTGAAATTATGAGTTAACTTCATTTCTGTTGTCATGTCTAAAACTGTAAACGGAACTTAAACTTGTAACCACATTTACACTAAAGAGCTCCTCTACTTTTCACAGGAAAGTAAAGCCACAGAAAGGAAATTTCACTGAGGTCAAACTGTTCCTATGACCAAACTGGTGTGTGCGCTTCTGTTCACAGTAAAATACCTATTCAGCACTAAACAGCAACATCTCTTCCGCTCGGTCCTCTTTTCAGTTTAACCTCTGCTCAGTTCCCTCGTGTTTATTGCTAGCACTTAAACTGTGTTATAAAATAGCTGAATTTGAATATAGTTGTTCTGCTATACATATCGTTATTCTCTTTTCAGATGACACAATCACAATGACATAGTAATTGAATTCTGGTTTCGTGAATACTACATGTTAACCAGCAGGCAGCAAGTTGCTGTGCTGCTGTGATCAAATCCTGGTTTTATCATTTGACAAATTCAAAAAATAAGCTAGATAAGGAAAACACTTACAATACTTAACTACGAAACAGACACTAACCCTCGCTCGGCTGACTTATGTCATTGTCTTGAAAAAGCTCAGCTTTCCCAGTACACTAAAACGTTATGCTGACGATTGATCTACTGTGGAGGCAACTATGGAACTAAAGAAGGCAGCTCCAGGCAGTAGTGAGGCTGAAACTGAGAGGAAACAAAGTGTGTTGACATCTTTGAATGTGGACGCACATCCTCCTCGAGGGGCAAGGTGCACTCTCTCGCAAAATGGAGCGCTCCAAGCTATTATCAAGAAGATGATCTATTGTCTGGGTGAGGAACAGTCTCACAGCAAATTTGGTCAGAGGACAGCACCAGAGAGTCAAATTGTAGAGACCGACACTCTCGGAGGAGATTTCACTCTTCAATGTTCTGTTGATTTACGTCATGGTGCAAGGTTGTATCCTAACAGATGTGCAGAAGGTTCTTTGAATCACAGTATTTGCCTGTTAGGCTCAGTGCTTCAACCTTGTTTTTCAAACAAAGGGTGTTTTTTGAGGCTTTACCCTCGCCAGTTATTTTAGAGTGTGTTTCTGAAGTGACTGTTGCCATATTGCTGCTCTTAAAGATTGGGCATGGTCTGATAGCTAGCAGCACAGGTGGGAGCACAAGTACTCAGATCTTGTACTTAAGTACAAGTAAAAATACCAAAGTGTAAGAATACTCTGTTACAAGTAAAAGTCATGTTTTCAAAATTTTACTCAGGTAAAAGTACAAAAGTATTCACATCTAAATATACTTAAGGTACCAAAAGCAAACATACTCATTATGCAGATCAGCCCATTTCAGAATAATATATATAATATGTTTTGATTATAATTATTGATGTATTCATATGTTTGTCAAGCTGGTTGAGCTGGAACTAACTTCAATTACTGTGGGGTAGCATGTGAATGTAATCCAGGTGTATCTAAAGTATTTCTTAAGTGTAGATCATATTGTTTATCATTTATTTATATCTGCAAAGTAACTAAATATACTACATAAATGTAAACGTAAAATATTGACCTCTGAATTGTAGTGGAGTAGAAGTACCTCAAAAATGTACTTAGTTACTTATCACCACTGGCTAGACATTCTGACTGCTTTGCTGTTTCACTATGCTTCACAGTTGTTCATTATGTCAACAATTGTCATGATAAAAGTATTATCAAAGTTAGGCCACTGGGTCTGGATTAAATTGAGCTGAAACCTCCATTTGACATCACAGTTGGCGATCACATGAAATACTTCACAAATGAAAAACATGCTGGGATGCCATTTGAAAAGGAACGTGGTTTTATAATTGCTTTGTTGTAACAACAAAAGTGAACTTGCTGATACAGGTGTAATTGTCATGTCTGCACAGGATGCACCCATGCAAAACATAATTTCCTCTCAATGCAATGGTTTGTTGGTTTGCTACAGAGAGCACACAAAAAAGAAAAAAATACAAAATGAAGTATAACCATAAAACTGTATAAATTGTAGCCTATCTTTATGATCACATGAGACATGTGTTTTACGGTTTTGACTGATTAGAAGCGGAAGTCTGAATAAGGTTTTATTTTATTAGTTACTAAAAAACTAAAATATAATCTAGTATACGGAACTGAAGCCTGCAGCAAACATCTACAGAGCAACGCTTATTAGTTCTCCAGAATACAATATCTCACAGGGTTTGTTTGTCGTGTTCATTAAGAATATTTTTCAAAACAGATTGGTAACTACACAACTGAATTCATGGTTGTGTTATGTATTACTTTGTTCACCAAGCTCATGTGTCTGCCTGTGAACATGGTAAATACTTTAGCCTAACAAGAAAAATAACGTGTCTAACTAGATCTTAAAGTCCTTGTCTAACTTTCTGTATACATTCATTCAACCCCACACTTAAATGTATAATTTAAAATATATTATTCTAAAACACAATTTTCAAGAACATTAGGAAACAGGCAATAAAAACCGTATCTCAATGCAATATGATAAGCAGGCCCAACATGTATTGTTTACATCCAAGTAGACAAAAGAACATGAAGAATATAAATTAACATACTTCTTACTGTTGTCGTTTCTGTAGGATAAATCCTTCCTGAACACCGGTGTTAAAATGTGACAAACTGTGTCAGCGATTATTCCTGTGTGTCCGGACAGGCCTGTTTTTGTATGAGTTGTGGACTTTGGTCGCTGCTTCGATTGGAGCCACTCCTTTAGAAAGCGCGCACAAGTCAACATCAGCGTCACCACAAAGCGAACCATTGAGAACTTGACTTTACATACATAAAGATTCCAAGTTTTTCAAGTTTGAACCGGCCACAAGTGAAGCCTTTTGTTCCCCAATCAAATAGTAGGCCCCCCCGGACCCCCCCTAGAGGAATTGAGGTCCACCTCAAAAGAAAACTGGTAGTGGCCTGGCTGGGTGTATAATTCCCGGCCTGATTTATTGTCCCAGTCCGGCCCTGGCTATCATAGACTCTAGCACTGCAGTGTGAAACCTGTTTGTGCGTAGCCTAATCCTGAAGCAGCATCACATGCCAACATGCGTCCTGGTTCTCAGTTAGTTTGAAAGCTATGGAGGCCCAATTAGTGCAACTCAAAAAGTAATGGGGAAACGTAAAACCTTGAGAGCAGATTCACATAAAGTGCTTTTTTATATTTAAATGATACATCTTGTCGTAGTTAATTTTCAAATTCAACATTTTTAAACACATTTACTCTGTATTTGTAATAGGCAAGAATTCGTATGTAACATCAATATTTAAATAGGTAATTTAAGTGTAAAGTTTCGTGTAAAACAAATCAGACACCAATTGTTATTCAAGTTTGTTAATTAAAGCATGTCTGGAAGTGATATTTAGAATTTCTGTTCAATGTTCATTTAAGAATTACCATAAATCCACAGCAAATAGAAATACAATGCATTAGTGGTGACATCAATATTAGTGGTCATCTTTTTATCAATAACGTTTTTTATTTTCCAGCTCATGTCTTGTAATAGACTCAATCAATATTTAACCTTTTTTTGTATGACTGTCTTGATTTAATTTTGCATTGACTCTACTGATTGTCTTAATGTTCCAGACTCATTGCATACATCAGTACACTGTCAACTGTCACGATATGCTTGCAAGAATGTGTGGTTGACACATTCTTTAATCACATTGTTTAATCTTTAATTTAATTAACTTTATGATGTGATTACATCTGTAGCTGTGGAGATATGTCATTCTAGATGATTGTATAGGCTTTGTTAGTGTGACACCTAGTGGTCATGATTACAAAAATGCCCTCTTTCCTTTTTCGCTTATGTCACAGCATATTCCAGTTACTTATTAAAACATTATAAATAGGCCTACATGTAGTAGCCTATAAATCAAACTACTTTATTACAGTTAAAGGTGGGGTAGGTAATTTCGGAGAAACCAGCTCGAGTGCGCTAGAATTTGAAAATACACAACCGGAGAAAATCTGCAACTTCCTTACAGAGCCCCTCCTCCAACACACACGAACGCGCACATGACCAATGAGGGCACGATATAAATGTGTGCATAGATAGGCCAGGTAGGCCATCCAGTTAATTTAGCTAGTCCGGCTAAAATGATTGGTCGTGCTTTTTACAGTACTACGGCTTCCACAGATGACATTTTTTTATGGATTTTTTGTCAAAGCACTTAAATGCATTCATTGCTATCGGGATGTTAAGAACATTCCATGGAATATAACAAAAAGTGTATCTCGAGCCGGTTTCTCAAACGTACCTACCCCACCTTTAATGCATTGCAGGATGTGAAAGGCGGCTTCCTCATTACGTCACCGACAGCCAGCCAATGAGAGGCCGCATTTTCAGAGCTTTAGCCATTGATGCTGAAGAATGTAAATCTACTGTGAGCCTTGCACCCTACAAATCATTTTCTTTGTTTTAGGAAAACAGCGACGACTTCAATCAAAAGCATTTCACCGGATGAATGTGACTAACGTGTGACGACATGACTGACAAGTGTATCAGGCTGCTGCGTTTTTAAGAAACAGGAAATATGCCGCTGCTAAAGGCTTGAGGGTTTGCAAGCATATCGTGCTCACAAAGGCTGATGCCCCTTCAAAGGTAAATAGCACAAACATAAACACATTTTTGCTGAGTGGAAATATACACACAGCTACTAGTGTGAATAACATTTCCGCAGATTCATAGTTATGGGTCTGACTTCCACATGGCCTTAATTCGCTGTCGCAGCAGAATGTGTTTGGTGTAAACGGATGTAAGCCTCGATTAGACCTGCTGGATTGTCGCCTATTTTATTCATGGTCAGGATAATGGAAGGAAGCATTGAAGGTGGAAAGTACGTGTTTATCAAAAACAACAGTCGTCATGTTAACTGTTAAAATCTGCCTTTGGGGTCTTTAACCACATCATTGAGGCAACACAATGAAATGTAGCAGTGACCCACTGACACTGTGTCAAGTCAAGTGTAAAGTACATGTCCACAAATACTTCTCTAACGTTCTCACGACAAACTGAACGTGTTGTATTAAAGCAGGGTTAAATGTAAGATTTAAAAACAAATCTGACTTGAAGATGGAGAGAAATGTAGTGATAAGGTTAATAGCAAAAACGTTGACGCCTCTTTATTTCTGGGTCAATCAATATGATACCACCATTTTTATTGGGGCACACTTTCTGATTTAGCCTACATTAAGGTACAAATAATTTAGGTTGGGAACACAAGTTATACATGTTTACACAGTCAGTTTCTGTGCACATACTTTACAGCTTTGTAAAACAGTTGTTTGTGGTTCCTGTCCAAATGTATTGCAATAACATGCAGGATTTTTAAGACAACAGTTCCCTGTTAATAAAGGATGGGGAGATTAGGCTCCAGGGGGCAATGCTTGAAATGGTTTGTAGTCTGGATATGAAAAGTGCAACCCATAACAGTGTGTTCTCAAACCCCATGTTTTCCTTTATTAACCATTCACTCAGAGTTGTTTGCCTTTTGAGACACAATGATTTGCACAATAATATTAAAGGTACTTCAAGAGACACATAGCAGGTATGTCAGTCCATCAAACTGTGCGTTTTGTTCCCGTGTAGGCATGGTATAACTGGGACATCACTGTGCTTTGAGCAGTCTCACCATGAAGGGCTCCAGCTCCAGATTGGCCTTCTCCCTGGGCTTCCTGGTGGGGGCCTGCAGCATCTACTTTTTCCTACGCCAGGTGTGGTTTGAGAGGAGTTACCCGGTGCTGACAGAGGCCCAGGAAAGAGCCACAGCGGTGTCGGAGAGCCCAACCAGCTGGAGGAAGGAAGGAGCTGCTCTCATCAACCTGCTCCAACCTCACCATGCAGGTGCTTTACTTTCTTTCACGCTGATCCTCTAAAGATCAAACCATCTAGTATGGGTTGACAAATAAAGCTAATTGATCCTAAATCAAAACGCTGTATATCTTACCCATCATAGCTAGATTTGACCAAATATAACAATATTAAGTAAGATGCTTTTGTGATTATGGTGGTGGTGAAGTAAAAAAAAGAAAGCATTATAGCACACCACACAGAAGGAATGTGGAGTAAACTGATTGGATATGGATCTGCCATGCTCATGTGCCATGGCATTGGGCCATTCCTGATGGAACTACAGATACATTTAGTCCACTGCCCGCCAGTTATACAGTTTGATGTGTGTCCTTCTAGATGAAGACAGCCGACTGGCAGATGTGTTGTACCAGAAGGTACGCGTTCTTTGTTGGGTGATGACAGGGCCGTACAACCTGCAGAGCCGGGCCCGCCATGTGAGGGCCACCTGGAGTCGCCACTGCAACGTGGTGGTGTTCATGAGCTCTGTGGAGGACCCAGACTTCCCCACTGTGGGCCTGGGCACTAAGGAGGGCCGTGACCAGCTCTACTGGAAGACCATTCGAGCTTTTCATTATGTCTACGAGCACCATGCGAGTGAAGCAGATTGGTTCTTAAAGGCAGACGATGACACCTTCGTTGTGGTGGACAACCTGCGCTGGATCCTGTCGAACCACACCCCTGAAGAGCCCATCTACTTCGGCAAACGCTTCAAGCCTTACACAAAGCAAGGTTACATGAGCGGAGGGGCTGGCTACGTGCTGAGCAAAGAGGCCCTCAAGAGATTTGTGGAAGGCTTTCGGACCAAGGTTTGCACACACACCACCCCTGTAGAGGACTTGGCGCTGGGGCAGTGCTTGGAGAAGATGGGCGTTCAGGCAGGGGACTCCAGAGACACTCTACATCGAGAAACTTTCCACCCGTTTGTGCCAGAGCACCATCTAACTGGCAAATTCTCAAAGAGCTTCTGGTACTGGAGCTATTGTTACTACCCGATTGTTGAGGCAAGTCCCTTCACTTATGTTTTATGTGTCAGTTAGTGCTACAAAATGTTATTACAGTATGAGATGGTAGACATCGTAAAAGCAAATAATGTATTTGTGCTCGAAATGCTTTAGAAGAGCACATCCAGTTGACTGAGGGTTAAGAAGCATACCATATAACCCAAAAAAACATAGTTTGATTTTCCTCAGGAGCTTTTGCTACATGTCATATTACACTCTCTCCCCATATTTATGGCTTCTATGTTCTTTGTTAGCTGTCTAAATGTGCCTCAAATGTCACCATTGAAGCAGAAGGGGGTTGTCTGATAGCTTTTTGATTAGACAGACATCCTGTGGAGTGGATTAGCCTTATTAAAGGGCAAGTCAGGTTAGGAAGACAAGCTATTGGGGGAGTGAACCTATTAGTTGAAAATCCTTTAATATCATTAGTTTAAATATGCACTTAAAGTAAGAAGAGTGTCCTTACATTTTGAAATGTAGGGGTCTATTCTCTATGTGTTCAGTATACTGTTTGTTTGCTCTTGATGAATTAAGCAACATGTAGGTAATCATCACAGGGACAATAACTAAATAAATTATTTTGGGATTATTTTGCACATTTGAATGCCGCACCTGACCCCGTCATAGAACGAGTGAATTGAAATAGAGATTAGTTCATTTTAAAGTAGATGATTGCAGCAGAGACAATGTCCTGTCAACAAAGAGGAAATTGGTCAATTTGTGGCAGATAATGCAACTCATTTATTGTACTTTGCAATTCCAATGAGACAGGTTCATTACTGACACTGTCACACACTTACAGCGTATTGAGCTGTATTATCCTCGGTTTGAAAGGGAAAAAGAAAACAAATCAATTTTAATATTAAAGTAATTATGTTTTTATCAGACTGAACAAATGTCGTTTCAAAACTGTCAGCATGTCTCATTATAAAAACAGACTCAAAACGACTAACACAAAGACTCGTTCCTACAAACAAGTATTTTATCTTTCGAAACCAAACTTAATAGGTTATATTTCTGTGCAACATACGTCTGTTTGACAAAAGCTGTTAAAAACACATAAATGAATCAAACTGTTGCACTGGGTAATAGCTTAAATCAAAATGAACATGGGCATTTTATCTATTTTTACATTGACTTGTTACTCGTAATCACAACAATTTAGGCAATTGTTAGGCTCATAATGCCAACAGCATTGTCAGTTAGAACTCTGCAATTAAATAGAGACCGTATTTGCTCATCTGTTTGCATATAACATGTTCCTATGTATCCCTTGAATGACATGTCTTTTTATTTATTAGAAGTTTATTGAAATCATTACCGTAAGGTCTTTTCACTGTACAGACACCTTGTGCAGCTAGACATTTATCTTGTGCATACATTTTAAAGGGAAACATGTGAAATCTGTCAGGGAATACCACTCTAAATGAAAAATTGCATCACATTTTTTACGTCATCACATTTATTGATGCTAAAATGAAACATTTTTGATGGGTCTTAATTTCATGTGTTAAATGTATCTCTAAATGGTCTGGTTTTTTTTTTCTTCCTCAGGGTCCGCAGTGCTGCTCTGACCTGGCAGTGTCTTTCCATTATGTAGAAGCAGAGCTGATGTACACTCTGGAGTATTACACCTATCACCTGAGAGCGTTCGGCTACCGGCCGCGCTACCGGCCCTCCGTACGCCAGGGTCTGACCCCCGGCCCACTCTCACAGACAGTCGTGACGGCAGGACTTAAAGCGGTTCAGGAGGTGACAGATGGAAGGGCTCACACAACTTCAGCCTCCTCGCTCGGTGGAAACAAAACTAAATCAGAGACTGAGCCAGAGAAACTTAGGAAAGACGATTTAAACTCTGGCGTCACAGAGAACCGGACTGGAGTCACTCAGGGCTGATTCTGTGTTCGAGCCGGGGATGATTTCCCTGCACAGTATGTTGGCCAATGTTTTCTTCTGACCGCTCTTCCTTGATCCAATCGCAGTGTTTTTCCAGTCAGTATGACACTGTGAGCCCTCACAGTGAGAGTGCTTAATATTTGAATATGATTTAGTTGCAGCTCCTATGCGTTGACTGTTTAACCAAGATAAACTTTTGGGTTTATTGCGCTTTAAATAGTCATTTTAGTTAATTAACTTATGATGTCACAAAGTCTTAAATATGTGTTGAAAGTAATACAAGAAGAGGCGCATAGAATATTATTTTACCTAATAGTCAATAATACAGCAACGCATTTTTTTAATATATATTTTAAATGTTTTTTTAATTTTGTTTTTTAAATGGACAGCAGCGACAAATGGCAGTGTGCTACTTTTCTTTACATTGTATTTGCTTTTATTGTGTTATATCTGATGTTCTCTGTACATATCTGATTAAAATGTTTAATTTCAAATTAAATCCAGATTACAACATGTATTCTGTTTGCCTTTGTGTCTGCATTTTTCTTGTGAGTCAATTTCTCTCTAGGGCTACATTGTTAAAGCAGACTCTAAATCCACAGCCAGCAGTGATACAGTGTTTACTTTGAGTTTGAAAAGCCCCACCTGTTAAAACTGTACTTACTTTTTTCCTTTGAATGATATGAGATGCTCTGATGTAGAAGAGGAAACTTCAAACCCCCTTGTTTGTTAATACAAGGTGGCTTTTGATAAAAAGGATATTATATAAAACAACAATGAAGCCCTTTTGTCAAGTTATTTTATGTAACCCAACAATTACAATTGTATCAGGTGTGAACATAGCTGTATGCAGTAGAGCCTGTCCAGATTTAAAAAAAACACTCATAAACAGCTTCAGGAAAATGCACCAATGTTTTAAATGAATAGATGATTTATAAAAAAGATTGGTTTATTTTGAACATGTTAAGCAAGAACAAGAACATAAATATAATGTATCGGCTGTCACTATAATCATGTGTTGTCTTCAGATGAAACAAATACAATCCGTTTAGTTTATATTCACTCTCATAAGCCAAGCTGGCAGGTTAACAGTCTGAATCACACCATTTATTCATTTCCATCAGACATTTAGTTAATTTGTTGTGTTTTCTGTGATCTTCTGTCATCGATGCCAGATGAGAGTTGCTTCTGAATGAAGTTTTACAGCCCCTGAAGAAACCTGCAACAAAACACATTGTATTGTATTTACATCTGAGTATTAATCCCACGCACATACTATTTAAATATGTACAATAAATGATTTCATACATTTCATTGATAATGCCAATGAGATATACTCAAAAGAAAAGCATACAGAGAAAATATAAAAGAGTGATTTGAGTGCTTATATGTACTCAAAGTTTCAACTCCATATATTTCAAGAACCTTTTAGGCTTTAACTTTTTCTTTAGTAAAGATGTTAAATACTGAATGAAAAATAAACTAGAGGCACTCACCTCAGCCTGCACTTGTTGAGAAAAATGCCTCTCCTCTCTGGATACTCTCTTCTCAAGGGACCATTATCTGTGAGAGCAGACATTGCAATATATATCAAGATATATTGTCTGCATGATGAATACAGAGAACACATTGAATCTGAATGCTTATAAAAGCCAACAGGGCTGTTGTGAAAATGTGACGTTTTGTGAAATGCCACACTTACCAGGCTCTGAGTTTCTCCTTCCCATAAGACCCACAAAAATGTCATTCATTTCCCCTAAAAAAGGAAGAATAGTAACCAGTCACTTTTGTGTTTTATGAACACTTCACATCAGTACTAAATCATAAATATCTTACTTTTTTGTGGTGCAGGTACAGCGCTATCATCTGATAATAATTAAATGAAACCGAGACGAAAAGACAAAGAGCAGTATTGTAAAATAGAAGAACACTTTGAGGAAATAAAATCTAGATCAAAATACTATTTGTAAATCACCAGATTTAAGTAAGGGACAGCATTTACAACAGTTTATCGCATTTTTGTATTTGTATTTAATGAAGTATTATTAACACGAATTACTTCTTCTACACATTTTAGAATGAAATCAGTGGAAGACTTACCGGCATCTCTTCTGCCCATCAGACCTACAAAGCTGTCATAATCCAAATCGCTATACCTCTTCAGAATGTTCCGCTTGAGGTTGTCCAAGACTGTGGGCTTCTGCAATTATGGAAAGCAAAACAAATAAACAATCAGTTTATGTTTAAAATAGGACGTGCAAATCAGCTTTGTCACTGCGCGCCCGGAAACCTACTTCTGATCTGCGCGTTCCGGGCTCCTCGCATCTGGAATGGCTGTATCGAAGTTTCATGATGAGGAACAGAGTCACCAGCAGCACACCTCCCTTCATTTTTTCAGCACCTCCTGCGCAAAAAAACAGTTTTGAACATCAACAGATGTTGTTAATACATTATTGTTTTGATTCTCTCGTATTTATCCAGCGATAACAGACACAAAGAGACAACAATAATATCATGCATTCTCTCTCCCAAAAGTCACATTAAACCATTAAATAAACCTCTTAATGGAAGAAAAATACAATGGTCTAAAATAAAATGAATAGAATAAATATGTTCACATTTTTACTTTAAGCATTTAAAAGTTTTTTCTTTACCTGTTTTCTGTCAAGCAGATAGTTTGGTAAAAGAGTCTGCGTGCGCCCGGTGCAGAGAAGTGAAGAAGGATAGATCCTGCAGTGAGATCAGGCCAGCATAAATGAGACGTCCACGCTCTCTGCTAATAAATAATAACTGGATACCTGCGTAACGCCAATCAGCAACCAGAGCGTAGGTGGAGTATCACTATCAGGTCTTATCACGTTGTGCCTACGTAGAATACACACTGATGGTCATGATGCTCCTGAGAGCTGCTGCCTCCCCACTAACACGCACGTACCACCATCAGAAATACACATATAGGCAACGTCACAAGGATAAAGGTGCGTGACTTAAGTCCATCCCTGAACCTATTTAAAATAAATATTTGATCCCAACTGCAGTTTTATTTAAAGAAAGCATCAAAAACACATTGTTACATCTTGTTTGGTATAAAGTGGACATGTGTGCAGCAGTTTCACTTATCCATGTCTTTGGCATCATCCTCACATGCTCCTCATGGTGTCTTTCCACCCCATTGACCAGTAGAAATGGTCATTGTCAAGATTCTGATCTTTTTAGGAAGTAATTATACAGCCAGCATCTGCCTCTGCTGTCCCAATATAAGATGGTGATGTATGTGACTGGAGGAGCCACACAACTGTCTGTTTGTAATGAAAATAAACACAATAATTTGTCCACCTTACTGGGTGGGTTTTGGTTAGTTGACGGGATAACATGTAATTTTCCCACCAAACTATCTGAATACAAACGAGAATTATATTTTTGACAGTATTCAAGAGAACAATGATATGTTGTCATGACTGACAACTCAACACCAGATTTGATGTTAGGACTGACACATCATCACCAGCATTGACACAATGGGTAACATGTGGTTCAGAGGGTCACTTGAAATTGCTTTCATGACTGCTGAATTCTCTCTTATCGGCTCTGACAGGTGCTGAGATGAATTGTCTGTCTTGTAACTTGCACAGACAGTGTGACACTTTTCGTCATAGTTTTTACCTCGAGCGGCACTGCATGATTACGTTGCTCTGGTAGTGCTGTATAATTTTCTCATAAATAAAACATTCAAGTAAATCCTGAAAATTTATTTATGTGTAACGTATTTTCCCTACATCATCAGCAGCTGAAAACAACTTTTTATTTAATGTCCCTACCAAACCTATAATTTTCTTGCAATTACACAAGCAATTACACTTGTGTTGGTATTCAGGCACACAATCAGAATGCAAAGAAGCATGAATATTTCAGCAAAGCAACGTTTGAGATCACAGCTATAAAACCGTCACAGGGAACCACTGCAGTGCAGATATAAATGGCTGTGCTCTCTAGAGACCTGTTTGATGAGGGTATGACTCCCACAACAAAGCATATAGTGTCCAAATAGTGCACTTCACAAAAGGTTAACACTGATATGTTTTAGTAATGAATTCTATTTCCATATTTGTCCTGTTCCTGGATGTAACGTGGGGATGGCAGCAAAGCAGGGAAGGGTTCGGGGTGGGAGATCTGACAGAGGTGGGGGAAGTCATTAATTGCATTTTTACATTATTGATGAGTGTTTTTTCATATGGTTGGTAATCATCAAAGCAGCCCTATTTTTTTGACTGACAGAGAGTACAGGAAAAGAGGGCCGGTGGCTGTTTATATACAACTTGCCATAGCATGAGGAAGCTTCTCATCCAACCGAAAGTGAATGGATCTTGGGTCGGATGTGCTGCAGGGCTAAATGGACGACCTTCAATATATCATAGGTCACATGACATGACATGTACCCTCTGCTGTATTGCATGTGGACGTCATTCATTACCGTCACACCTTTTATCAAAAAGATCAGACTTATAATGGGCTCCCCTCAGAGGTGCGGACAGCTGAGTGCTGAAAGGTCAGCAGGACATTCACGGTTGACTTACTCCCAGCTGGATTCCAATGGTATCTTTAGATAGAAGTATTGGAGAAGACAAAGATAAAAGACACAGCTCAGTCTCATGCTAAGATCATTTAAGGATGTGTATGAAGGACTGTGTTTTGTATTGAGGTCTAATACTCCTATAAATGACATGAGTAGTCAGTTGAAATATTAAAAAACTTCCTGGCCTTATCCTTCTTTTCAGGTCCTTCTCAAACATTGATCTGCATGTGTGTAAAGATAGGCTGTCTGAGTGTGAACATCATTTAAATATCCTCTGGTTTGCCCTTACGTTCTCTTTTTTAGTGTTTGCCTAATGGTCATGCTTTTCCTGTTGTCGCTTGTTGAATTAACAGGCTGAAAAGTTAGAGATGACCTTGCAGTTTAACACATATTAAGAGCAAAAAAGAGAGAGTGTGTGTGTCTTTGAGGACACATCATGTAGAGTTTATCTCACATCATTTTTTTCATTGAAAGTCATTGGAAACGACATGACACATTAGTTATTCTGTGTAGTTATATATTCAGAGGAGGGATACAGAACATAAAGCCCGAACAGCCACACTGTTATTCCTCTCCTGCCTCTGTAATGGAGCTGCCAGTCATCCATTTGTGCAGGCTTTCAGGGTCTGAGGGGGGGAGAAGATAAAGTAAGTTCCAGCTTGGAGTTGAGAGGTGACAGTGACGCGACGGCCCCTTATATGGTAGAGATGTTATGAAAGAATAAGCGGCCAGAGGGAGACTGGAAAGCAGAGTGTGCGAGGGTGAGAAGAGAGAGTGAGATTGTAATGATGTGTGAGAAATGTCAAGGTGTAGATTTTAGCTATATTTATACAAAGACTGGGGTTGGACAGACAGCTTGCAATCTCTGGCTAATAAGTCCAAAGGGGATTCTGAACGTGTTAACAGAGTTACAGGAAAACAGTCCTTCTCACACTCAGAGCCCATCCCCGCTGTCGGCTGTCGCTTGTGGCAACATGAAGACAAAAATAAACGGATCTAGATGATTCCAGTCCTCTCCATGGTAGATCATAAGATGCACCTGTCAATAATTGAGTTAATGGGCTCTAATCTAATGAGGGAATTTAACTTAGACTCTACTTTATACTTCTCCTTGGGGCGTGCAAAATGACTTTGATGGATGAAGTATTTTTCCACCACCCACTCCTCCCTGATCTCTGACTTACGAGGTCCTAAAGTGTCACTTCCATCTAAATGTTAATTTGAGAACTGTTTCTTTAAGACTGGCATGGTTGCTGACATGCTTTGCAAGTCTATTTGCATTAGACCACATTGGTTATGCGGAACTGTGAGCTGTGGTGTCGCTAAACTAAACACATTCTTTTCTTTTTCATCAGCGTTTTCCAAAGAGCTTCGAAGATTGTTTTTCTGCTCTCTCCTTGTCAAACGCTTTGTGTCCCCTTTAATCTTCTCTTGGTGACAATGGCTGGCACTTAGGTCTATGAGAGAAAATAAGTCTCTGATGCTGTTTAGGCTGTTGAAACTCTGTTGTGATCGTTCTTTTAACAGTATTGCCTATTTTCTACTCATCATGCAGTAAGAACACTTCAACACATACATCAACATCCAGTTCATCACAGAAGTAATCAGAGACTGTGACAATGTGTCCATGCTGCAATCAGATGAGATGCGTGTTCAACCCTCAAATTGTGTTCTATTAACACAAGACCAGCCACTGAACGTTTGTTGAATACTTTTTGTTGGTTGCCAAATATTTTGTCTTTATTTGTTGAATTATTTTGTTGCTTATTATTTCCTCTGCCATTTGGTCATTTCTCTGCTGCCAGCTATCCAAACCATTTGGTTACTACTGTTTCCACCAGCAGTAACTAAAATAAATACCATCAACACATTATGAACAGCGAGTTGTTTATGATTTACCTAATAGAAGTGTATTTTAAAGATCTCCTATCATGCAAAATGCACTTTTTAATGTATTTTATACATAAATATGTGTCCCTGGTGTGAAAGGGAACTCACAAAGTGTCAGTAAACAAAGCCCTCTCTCTTTTCCTCTGTACCGAAATCTCTAAAAACGGGGGTACAACAGAGCTGATCCAGATTTGCATCCGATATGATGTAATATCTGAAATGTGGGCTGGCTTTACACCCACGGCCCTATCAGAAACGTCGCTATCAGAAACAATGCCCGACGTGTTTTGGACGTAATATGGTCTTTGTTTACATTAGCAAGCATGCTAACACTCAGAGCTAACCTGTAATATGTGTACAAATGCAGGAAATAAAAAAAGGAACTCACCTTGTGGTAAACCCGCAAGAAAAGAAGCATTTGAGCTCCACACTGTTTCAGAAATAATCCTTGAAGTGGTTTGGAACATGATATGGCGTTTAATCATGGCAGCATTTAGCTGTATCTCGTAGAATTCTGAACAGGCACAAGCTCCCCATCCTCTACCTTCCTTTTTTCAAGCTAAGGACCCAGAATCAGTGTTTCTCTAACAGGGCTGAAATAGAGGGATATCAGGGATGCACGATCTGTTTGGTATTTTGAGCAAAACACTTCATAGACATGTTTTTTATATATTTTAATATCTGAGACCCATAATATGCCTAAAAATAGCATGATAGGAGATCTTTAATGTTAATTAACTGCTTATGGTGGAGAATAACACATTTTGACATACACTATTACGTTGTTGAGCTAAACTGTACAAAGTAATTGTGAAACATTTTTAATTGTAATTTCCCCTCTGTTTTGCTGGGATTTATTTGTTTGTTTTGCCTTAGCAGCAACTTTGTTATCACATTCTGAGGAGTTGGGTTAGACATCACTGAAAAATAAGTGCTTTTTTAAGAACCATCTGGAGAGCCACAGACCAAGCTTTAAGGTGATTGTTACGGTGTGTGTAGGAAGCAGGACCCAAATGCAGATTAAAGTGACAAACTCCTTTATTTCAAGGCTATACTATTAAATAAAGACTAAACAGAAGGGCCTCCAGGGTGGGTGGAGGGGGACTGGAGGAGGGACACAAAACTAGGGCCTCCAGGGTGGGTGGAGGGGGTCCGGAGGACGGGTTTGGGCTGACAACCCAGGAGCACAGCGGAGGACCCGGAAGGGATCCCGGGCGGACGGCCCGGGGGCAAGGCAGAGACCATGGAGGGGGTCTCGGGCGGACGGCCCGGGGGCAAGGCAGAGACCATGGAGGGGGTCTCGGGCGGACGGCCCGGGGGCAAGGCAGAGACCATGGAGGGGGTCTCGGGCGGACGGCCCGGGGGCAAGGCAGAGACCATGGAGGGGGTCTCGGGCGGA